GGGAGGGAGGGCAATTTATGTAACCTACTATTCTGCAGAGATAAGCCTGTATATAACTAAAATGATTGCCAATTTTATGGCAATTATTTTGCTACTAAGACTAGAGTCCAGTCACTGCCTGCATGACTGCACTGACCGTGTTAAGCTAATTCTATTTCAAAAACAATTCTCAGGTTGCGGGGTTTATTGTATTTGTTGATTGGCCAAAAGGCCATAATAAAAACTGATTCGTTCTATATTAACCCTGCTTTTAGGCTTACTTATAGCGTTCGTGCACTTGTGCAGAGTAGCAGGAAACCCTGCTGTTGTCTTTGCAACCAGATGCAGCTCAGGGGCCACAAAGGGAGGGTTGTAGCAAGGCTGCAAGGGCCATTGGGACATCATACTGTTCAGCCCAGATTTGTCACCATATAGTGGAAAACTCTCATATGGTCCGGCTCTGTTTTCTGTACTTTCAATATCTGCTTCTGCTTCACTCACTTCTTCTTCCTATCACTCCTGCAGATGCCAGTGCTATTCCTCTGGCCTTACCTTGTTCCACTGTCAAGTCATAATACACGCAATAGTCTTCCCAGCCGTTGCAATGGATCAGCTCAGTGGGTTTGCAAGTTAGATCCTGTGAGATGCATCCTGGACATTTCAGTCCATTTGGTCGGATCCCGAGTCGGGGCACTTGGAAAATTGGGAAAACAAGCAGAATTTCTAACATTGCAATTCCATCTCCTTGGTCCTTAGGAACTTCCCCAGCATAGCTCTTGCAATCACTTCTTGGAATTCCAACTGATGATCAGCTGTCCAATTATCTCAGGGGGATTTACTAGAGTTTGTCTCATGGTTTCCAGTGGTCACCTCTTGTACCGGTAATCCTCATTTAATAACTACAATTGGGACCAGCAACTCCGTCGCTAAGCAATGTGGTTGTTAAGCAAGACATCACATGACCATGACAGACATATGACCTCACTTCCTCTGCGAATCACCTGGGATTGTTAAGTGAGACATCATGTGACCAACGCTTGCGATTTTACTGTTGGCTTCTCTGTTGATTCTGGTTGTTGTAAACACCCACTGGCTGCGAAGTGCCTGAATCTCAATCATGTGACCATGGGGACACTGTGACAGTCATAAGTGCAAGGACCAGTCATAAAGTTACTTTTTCAGTGTAGTTATAACTTCAAATGGTTGCTAAACAGGGCAGTCGTTAAGCAAGGACTACCTGCAATGAGCTGTGAGAATAACCTTGAAAGACAGGAGGAAGAGCTGCAGCCTAGACAACAGTCTGATAAGAGAAATCTGGGTCCAAAACAGGAATGGGTGTGGAGAAAGTGTCTCAGAAGGGACCCTCCCTAGTTCTCTGGAACGTAAAGGCAGGGAAGAGGGGGAAGTACTTTCAGACTTGCAAGATTCTGTTACTATAACCTTACAATAAAGGTAGTATTAGTGTTCTTGGTTTTGGTTTCCTGGTCTGGACTACCTTGAAGGGCTGACACCTCTTGAGGTTCTTCTCTTCTCCAAGGCTATTAAACTGGGAAGTCTTTCCAAAACTGGCCCTCTACTGATGTATGCTAGAGGAGCCCATTCCCACCCAGCTTCTACATTATGTGATGTCCTGATCTTTTCCTGTCCCCCAGATTTTTCAGTCTTCAATATATTTCTGTTAGCCCTTCGAGGTAGTCCAGACAAGAAGCATAACCAGGAGTACTAGCTCTACTTTAGTGTAAGGTAACATTAACAGAATTTTGCAAGTCTGAAAGTACCCCCCCCCTTTCCTTTTACGCTTAGGAAAACTAGGAAGGGTGCCTTCTGAAGCACTTCCCATGTCCTCCCTCCTTCTGTGGGCTGAGACCTCTTTTGCATGACGGTTCTCCAGTCTGCGACTCTCCCTCCTGTCTCCCAAGGTCATTCCCATATACCATTGCAATTTCATCTCATATTAGTTTTGCAGTAACTTGTGGCTTCCCTTCTTTTCTAGACTTCATTTTCCTGACATATGTTACAATCATTTTTTTTTTTTTATGGTTCCTGTTTTTACTGGGAAAAGACCAAGGGAAGTTTGACACTTGCCCAAGAGAGGAAGGGCGATAGCGAAGGGGGAAGAATGCTTACATGTCACTGTTCCGCTGTTGCAAAGATCCTTACGGCAACACTTTGCTGCACTCCGTTTACGTCTGGAAGGGAGAGTAAAACTCATGGGCGATGGGACACAATGCTTGATTTTGGTGCAGCCTTTGTAAGTGGCCAGCCACACTTCATTTCCTGTGCAATGGAAAGGGTTGCCGTCAAGATAGGGGTTAACAAAGTCATGTAAAATTACAAGAAAACCAGAAGGAAAACCCACTCAGAGACTGAAAGGGACTTCATTTGGGAGACTATCTCCTACAGAGGAAAAAAAACAGAGTTAGCTCTGGTGGTAGAGAACATCACGAAGAGGATCAAGCGAGCTGGGTGGCAAGGAGCAGCGTCACCAGTTTGGCCACTGCTAAATCAGTGTTTCGTAATCGCTCATACCCACAGCGACAGCTATTTTGTGATATACATGCCCATGATAGACAGCTAGTTTGGTGTAGTGGTTAAAGGCATCAGGCTAGAAATCGGGAGACCGTGAGTTCTAGTCCTGCCTTAGGCATAAAGCCAACTGGGTGACCTTCAGCCAGTCACTCTTTCTCAGCCCTAGGAAGGAGGCAAACCACCTCTTAAATCCTGCCAAGAAAACTGCAGGGACTAGTCCAGGCACTTGCCAGGACTCAACACTGAGAGAGCCAGTTTGGTGTGGTGGTGAAGGCACCAGGCTAGAAACCAGCAAATGGTGAGTTCTAGTCCTGCCTTAGGCACGAAGCCAGCTGGGTGACCTTGGGCCCCTCTCAGCCCCGGGAAGGAGGCAATGGCAAACCACTTCCGAAATCTTGCCAAGAAAACTGTAGGGACTAGTTCATGTAGTCACCAGGAGTCCACACTGACTTGAAGGCACCCCCCCCCCAAAAAAAGCCTAAAATATATTCTCAAAGCTCCAGTTACACCCACTGGCGCCAAAAGGTGGTTATTCTTAAATGGCCACTGACTTTAATCTACTTCCTCAAATTCATCTCCTCCCAGAGTAAATGTGTTAATTGTGCCAGGCAATGGCTCCTTGTCATATTCAGGCACATGTGTATGTATCTACATCCACATAGCCACCTGATGCCAGAAAATACCTATGGCTAAATTCAATTTCTGCCTGCTTTTCTAAATTTACATCATCCTAACTTTAGTACGTTGATCATTTCAGGGGGTAACAAAAGAAACCCTGTTCAACTACCACCCCTGCAGATTTCCATAAGCCCTCCCTCCAAGTTTCCGATCCTGGGTGGAAAGAATGGGTCAGTTCTGGAGCAAGCCAGGAAGATCCTTCACCAATGGTTGTCTCGGTGGTGAGAGTGAGGCAGGTGTTTTCGAACGGTCGGCAGATGTGCGCTGCACCGGTGCAGAAGCCACTGCTGCTACTGCAGTATTCACACTTCAGACACACCCCTGAAAGGGAGGAACCACAGATAAATGTCAGGAGTTGCAGCCCATTCGGAGATGACCCACCATTGGAGTCAGGGACAACCCCAGGATATGGTCAAAAAGGGTCAAGATGGCGGCCCATTTTTTACGGGCAGTGGCTTTTCTAGGGACAAGCCAGAGCAGCAAGAAACAACGATGCTAGTGGGGAGAGCTAGTGATCATGGTTAAAACTAGGGAATTAGAAGCGTTAAGCATCCCAGGTCAGTGATCCCATAACTTCATCCATTGCATTCCACTCTCTCAAAGCTGCACAAACTCTGCGTAGTATTAAAAGCAAAACAAACAGACAAACAAAAACCTTTTCTACCCCAGCAGGGAGAGGGTTTGACAGCCAGGTTGCAAAAGGCAGTACACTCCCGTCATTCAAAGGACTGCACTGTTCCGTTCTGTCCTGCAGGATTCAAAGAGGTTGCCTGGATCTGCTTGAGCAAAAAAGCCTTCGTCTCTACGTGGGCCCAGGCACCACCAGGCACTTCAGGTGACAGCCTTTCCAGCATTTTCTCCTTCTATTTCCTATATAAAATGCTTCCAGGATTGAGTCAGCCTGTCTTGGCTGTGAATCAATTCCATCTTCTCTCCCCTTACCACTTTTTCTACGCATGCAGTTGTCCAGAAATAATGGGTAGTGGGGAAATAGATCTGAATTACAGTGAGTTGCAATAGACTGCTTTCGTCCAAGTGGACAAAGGAAGAAAAAGGGTTGTTTTAAATATAACCTGTCTTATGGTGTGTGTGTTTTTTCCTTGCAAAGGGAGTTCCAGGCAGTCCCCCTTTCTTTAACATGGGATAGCAGGCATGCAAATTACAAGGCTGATTGTCTGTGTGTGTGTGTGTGTGAGAGAGAGATCTGTTGATTTTGAAGAATCCAAAACAACACATCATCTACTAAAACCAGGACTGTATCTTCTTCTGATTGTACATTTCTACCTACAATGTCACACCATATCTGGCCCTCAAGAACAACCATCTCTGGCATTTGCACACATTATCCGTATACATTCATGCACACATGCGTGGGTACACATACACACACACACACACACACACACACACACTGTAAATAGGAAATGGATAAAATTATGCTGTCCCTTGCTGTGGGACTTGCAAGAGGTTTAGGGAAAGGAAACAAGGAAGCAAAATAGAAAATTGAAATGGTAGAATAGATGGATAAATATTGGTGGATATTCTGGTCCAAAATACACAATGCTAAAACACAATAGCTAAGCAAAGTGGTCAGATGCCTCTCTACCTCCTAAGACACTTTTATATTATGTGCTTGCTGCTACCTATTTTTCGATCCTTCAATGAGGTGTCACTATCCAGAGGAAGTACAAGTCCTGCACCTATACTAGACTCCATGGTTTTGAAATCAGAGCTACAGCCTGAATCAGGCTTCAGTGTTAAATGCCCTGCTTTGAAAACTTGGCTTCCCATCTGGTGATGTTCCTAATTAAAATTCAAAGGACTTACCTGCAGGGATCAGGATGGAGAAGAAGAAGTAGATGATTGAGGACATCTGCATGGTCTTTGAACATAGAAGATCATGAGAAAAGCCCAGGGCTGAGCTGGCTCCAGGATAAGAGGTGACTAGGCTTTGTTAGCTGATGAGGACTTATAGCTTCTTGGCAGGAGAGGGTAGGAGGGACAAGAAGACAATGAGGATGGGAGACCAGCACAGTTCCTGGTCTCCCAGGCTGCAGAAAGGATCAATCACGGAGTGAAACTGACTCTTGTTCTGAGCTTAGTGACCAGAACGACATGCAGAGGGTTAAGACTGCAACTTCTCAGATCAATGGGCAGAAGAAAAACAGCACTTAAACAAGGTTTTCTCCACTCATGGTCTGGGTCTGGGAGAGGTCTTCTCTATTCTCCCAGAGCCTGATACGACTCATTGCCCTGGGAGGAACAACAAGACAACCATCAGTTTTGGGGGCATCAGTACTGCCTAGTATAAGAAAATAGAACATTAAGTACTGCAGCTAAGTGTAATTATTTGCCCCACCTCAATGTAATTATTTGCCCCATTTTTGTTTCTTTCTGCATCACGTTTGTTAGACTGTCATTTGAAAGGCAGGGACTTAATTTTGATGTAAGCAAGTGTAAACTCTGTTTGGAAAACAGGAAAGAACAGCATTACGCCTGCAGGAGTGTCAAGTGCTGCAGCCTAAAAATGTTGGACATTTCCAGTTTGCAAAAAGTAACTGTAGACGAGTTCCAAAGGCAGCGTATTAACCGTTCCGAGGAAGCATTCAGTAATGCAGCAACGTCGTCGTAAAGAAGCACAACAAGATTTTATTCAGTCATAAAGAGAAATGAGCACATTGTTCTAGCTAATTACAACTCTGTAGAATTTAGCTTTACTTGCCAGGGTCCTGAGGGTCTAAGGGACTAGCTCCTTGCTCATTAAATCAATCACCTGGCCGCTTGAGAACATGTAATATTCTTCCACATTTCTGCATACAGCCCAGGAATGCCAAATGTGCGTTCTTTCTTCGTGCAGGCGTACTTCGTCCCACAGCCACGTTTAGCATACACGTAGATCGCATCATCTGCAGGAATTAAGGAGGGAAATGTCACCTCTGGAGAATCTGGACTCCATACTGTCAAGGTGGCAGGCCTGTGCCTTGAACATCTGCAGGCGATTCCTGGTAGAGTTGCTACAAGTCTTTTTCACATGATTCCGTCCTCCACCTTGCAGTTATTGTACCCAGCTTCCGAGTGTGTGAAAATGTTTTCTAGCAGCCTGTTTCGGTGATTTGTCAATCCATGTGGGGCACCTGCTCTTCCACATTTCAGCACATCAAGTTTCTTGGTCTCTGTTTGAAATAAGGGGCATATACAGTGGTACCTCGGGTTGTGAACACCTCTGTTAACAAACTTTTCGGGTTACGACCAGCTCTGGCCGCAAAAATTTACCTCGAGTTGCGACCAGAGTCACAGAACGGATTAAGTTTGTAACCCAAGGTACTACTGTACCTTTTCATTTAGGGATATATCACACTAGCTAGGAAAATCAGTAGGACAAAACAACAGAAGTTAAAAGAATCAGAAGACAAGAAGTGTTTTATTTCTCTCAAAAGTGCCTCCAAAATCAGATTTCTAAGCAGAGTAGTAAGGAAGGGTTGATACCTTCCCTTTCAAGGTACAAAATATTACAAAGCTCAACCAAGGAGAGATGACCCATTACTGAATGTTCCTCTCTTCTATCAATACAACATATTATGTATATTATTACTAAGATATTATATCGAGTATCTGCTTTCATGATATTATGCAGATATGATCAAGCCCTTTTGTACCCAAGTTCTACTACACAATAGCATTAAGACAATTATCAGTGACACAAGGTTTAGAACTTCCTTTTCAATAAATCTCAAAATACTGAGATCAAAATGTCAGCAGTTTTCAAATTCAGAATCTCAGAATCAGCTCTGGTTCCAATTTACAGTGCCTTCTTTATTTCTTTATTTGCTGGTTCACTAGATTTCTACCCCACCTTAGATTGGGTGGAATTTTACAACTCCAGACACAAGTTTATTGAATCAAATAAAATCACCCAATCCAATCCAATAGATTCCATAATCTGAACTGCAAATTCAGAGGGAAGGGAATCAGGTCCTTGAACTCAACCAACCAGGTGAATGAGATCAAGGTAGATTCGTACAATTCTGTAATATCATAGATAACAACTCCTGTGTCCTGGATCAAAGGGCTAACTTGTCATTCTGTCCCTATTATGCCAAGTAAATGTCTCTTAAGAAGCTCATAAAGTAGGCCCCAAGGACACAAGTAGTCTCCAACTTCAGCAATTAGTATTCAGATATACATTCCATCTGAGAACTAGCTCCAGGGACCTTGTTCTCAATTCACTTTTTTAACCACTTTTTCAGGCTGTCTATAACCATCAAACCATCCTCTGTTTGAAAGATTCATTAAACAGCACTGGATAAATAAGAATGTGCTTAGGGCATGAAGGGGGCCACCAGAGTTTTTCTCTTAGCTATCATGCCCTTAACTCTTTCACTGCCACAGTCAACTTTAACTGAATTTTTTGTCATTGTCCTTATCTGCTGTGTTGGACCTTAATCTGCATTGTTAAAAGATATTTTCTTTGGCATCCTGAGTGACCAAAGTTTCAAAGTTTGCTTTGGAGATGTCACCAGATATCACATTTGTTTCCATCTCATGGCATGAGAGTTTCACTTCCATTGAGGGGCACCATTGTTGGGCTGTGCTTAAGGCATCAGTTAGCCTTAATTTGGCTCTGCCATTAAATATATACTCAGCAAAGAGGGTCTTCTATTGACCTATTCCCACAATACTGGTCCTCATGGAAGACATGAAGGGAGTGGAAACCAAATGGCTCCCATTTCCCCTTTCTTCATACCTGAAGGACTTACCATGTTCCACAGTCACGCCCATGTAGACACATTTGCGCTCCTGACCGTGGCAGTTTAACATCTGTGTGGGTTGGCATTCTGGAACCATGGAAAAGCATCCTGGACATTTCAGTCCATTTTGTTTTTTCTTTGTTTTTTCCACTGGGGGAAGCAATCACATGGGTTGATAAGAACAGCTTAACTGTTGGATGGTTATGTCAGCAACTTCGGGGAGGTGAGGGTTATAAAATTATTTGATGTAAATAGACTATACTATGCAGGACTAAATGAAACCAGACTTCCACTGATCTGCACTACCCGTATCTCACCATATTCAGACCCACAATCAGATACATGCAACTGTATAATGGCCAGGAGCAACTAAAAATCCAATTACATCTTGGTTGCTGATCATCCCTATAAGCAATAAACGAATCAACTCAATGCCAGGAGTCAGAAACATTTTCAGCTACCATTGCACAATCCTATAACATGTCCCAAGTTTCTACTTTTGTAAAAAAAAAAAAAAAATTAAATCACCTGAAATCTCCTGTAATCAAGTGATCTTGCAAGATTTTGTGGGTCTCATCCCACAAAGATCTCACAGTGGGATACTGAAATGTCATCAGAAGTTTGACATTCTCACGTGCTATCTCACAAGCTTTTAGCAGATCTCATGAAAGGCTGAGCTCTCACAAGGTTTGGTGATCTAACAAGAAACAGAGAACCAGGGGGCTGCAAATTTTTGGAGATGATTGTATAATGAAAGGCAGGATATTTAGACACCCCTACATCTTTCCATCACTTGAAAACTTCACATTCCCCAGTTGGAAAGAATCCAGTAGGAAGTCTCCTTTTGATGTTTCCCTTTGCAATTCATTGAAGATTGGGGAACCTGAGAAGAAGCTGCAGCTTGCTAGGGAATGGACATTCATACACACCCTTAGATACTTCGCAAATCAACATGCAAGGACCCATGAGAATTTCCCTGAATCCTCTTCTGCTTTGAGAGAATGAAAATCAGTAGTGGGAAAAAGTCCTAAAGAATGTCTCGGTCCAACATGAGCAGGACTCACTCATGATTTTTTGTTGCATTATATCTTAGAAATGAGTAACATCCGTCAGTGAAAAGAGTTCAGAGGGGAAGTTTTGAAAAAAGTCACTTGCTTACATTTCACACTTCCTTTATTGCAGAAATCACGGTAGCAACACTTGGCTGTCCTTTGCTTATGCTGAGAAGGAAATGTGAAGCTCATGGAAAGAGAAGGACAGTTCTTGGTCTGTGTGCAGCCTTTATATGTGGAGAACCACTGGTCATTCTCTGGGGTTGCACAGAGGAAAACAACAAGGTGAGTGTGAGAGCTAGATAAGGCAATGTTAGAAGGAGAGGGTCTGAGATCAGGCCCCTGGGGCATCTGGAAGGGAGGGGAAAGGGTCAAAAAAGTCAAGTTGGTAAGGCATTAAAAAAGGAATGGGACTTCCATCACATAGCTACAGTCATCATCTAGACTTGTTCTGATCCCCTCTGCAGATGCTCATGGCTAGGTATACGACTTGCATCTTACCTTGTTTTGTAACACCAGTTGCATCCTAGTGATACAGAAGCATACTTATCTTGCATGGTGGAACCACTGCAACCCAAATCTGAAAAATAAGTTGAAAACTTATGGTTGCTCATATTGATCACTGGAGTTGGTGGACAGCTGTGGGGCTTCCATAAACTTTTATTGTTCCTCCCATCATCCCAGGACAGATCCCAGGACAGTCTCCAATCCCTCTGAAAGTCCCTTTAACCTTGTGTAAGAGTAAGGAAGATAACCTTGGGAATGGAGTTTGCATGTCTCCATCAAGGTCATCTTCCTTACTTTCTACATCTTGGTTGTTCCCTGTGAA